CACTGTGTCTCCAGTGTTGTCCCCTGTAGGGCTATGGGTCAGTGAAGGATGGTGTGTCTCATATGGTCTTCTCTGTGGATTGGCTGCTCTGAGCAGGAGTATCATCCTCAAGGCTTGGTGGGCCAGGATGTGCTCCACTCTCTCTTCCTCCCCCTTCATTTGCTCCCGTGTGCTCTGTTCGGACATGTCCCTCTCCTGGAGCTGCAGCTAAAGTGCTGTCCTCTGAAATAAATTCTTGGGGGAGGGGCAGGTGTCCATGTAGTTGGGGTTGGGGCTGGCCCCTCAGACCTCTCCAGGTTCTTGCCATTTCTATTTTCATCCAGAAGACTCTGATCCTAAGTTTATAATACTTGAATATAGCCATTCTTGAAAGCAGTAACTCCAATTAAGTTTTAAATTTTACACAAAAACATTAAATTTCAAAGAAAGATCACTGGATAGGAAAGTGTTTCTTGAGAAAGATACTAATACTAGAAAAGACAGAACATCTACTTGCCTAAATACAATGCACTATCTCCAGTTAAGAGTTAGTCAGTCTTGGAAACAATCCTACCGGGGTGGGTTACATCCTATACTACAGGGTCAGAGTTAAATTAGAATTGACAGTCCATTTTTTGTTTCAAAGGTATGCACAAGTACTAGTGTTTCTAACTTCAAGGGTACCATGACTAGTTCCAAATCATTTGCTCTTGATACAGCAATTCAAAGGCTAACTTAATTGTATGTACAACATCTGTTTTACAAAGGCAAGGTAGGAGCAGATAGCTCAGTCTTGCCAATGGCACCAAAAAAGTAGGAAAAGTTGACAAGTCACCTTGTTTTTCAACTGGCAGTTGTAGAACTCATTTCAAGCCAGAAAAATGGAGGTGGCAACAAGACCACAGCGTACACACATTATTAATTATAATCCACTTTAACAGTTAGCAATTAACCATGTTCATACTGCAGTAAAAATGCATGTTTGTTATTTTGTCACAGCGAGGGAGAACAAATGCAAGCCAGAGTCCAAGGTGTGAGTGAGAAAGCACAATCAAGGACACTGGCAGGGAATACAAACTATGTGCAACCAAGGGATGAGATACACAGAAGAACAGCTATGTTCTACCAGAAGTTCACCTCAGAATTAGGAGGGAAATTATGAGGCAAGAGTCTAAAAACCAAAACTTTATGGCTTCTAGCCCAAGAATGGGCTAAAAAGTAAGTCACCAGTGTATAAACAGCCTACTTATTACAGAGGATGCAAAACACTTATTCCGATTCTTGAGAACGAAACATTCTCAATCAACCACCCAATTAAACACGCCAACATGAGGGAAAAAGCAAAATGCATATTTACAAAAACCGAGTACACATTTCCATAAGTACTTTGATGACAAATGTCCAGAGTACATCCCCCAGATTAACATATAACAAAAACACTGCAATCTGTGACCATGGAGAGCTACCAAGAACCACCTATCAGGTAGAACGTATGCCAAAACAAACAAACAAACAAACAAACACGCCTGCATGTCCAAGCATCATTTTAAATGGATGAACAGAAAATTCCTTCTCACAAGGGATGGGTTTTATAAGTTCCATAATTTGACACAATGTTGGTAGGTTAATTGTGGTGAGTGAGAAGTATAAAGAATTTTTTGCTTGAAACAAGTGATCTA